CGAGCTTTCACAGCTATTAGGTGAATCATTGCACCCTCTGCTGGACCAGATGACAAACATCAATCAGCAATTGACTACTTTGAACCAGAACTTTGCTGCACAACAACTGGAACTGAATGAAACCAAGAAATTAATAGAGCAAACAGCAGAAACACTGAAGGAGGTTAATGCCAAATCTAAAAAGGTGAAAAAGCGTGTACGGGAGTTGGAAAAGAAAAGAATTACTGACGAATCTCAGCTTTTGCAACTACAAATGGAAAAAGCAAGTTTTATCCTGAGATTCCAAGGGGTTCCTGAGACAAAAGGAGAGAATCTAAAACAAGTATTGGGTGATCTACTTGCACCAGTGGCTGATTTGAAAACGGAATATCTTCAAAGTGAAATCGATGTGGTCTACAGATCATACTCGGAATATATTAAGAAAAATAATTGCCTAGAGAAATAGTGGTTAGATTCTCAAAAAGATATGTGAGGGACCAAATCTTGAAAACAACATCAAGAATACCCCTGAAAATCAACGGTAACACCATACGCATACTAAAAGACATTCCATTTGAAATTAGAAAGAAGAGGAAGAAATTCAAAGACTTGGCATTGCTTCTACAAACAAACAACATACAGTACAAATGGTTGGTTCCCGAAGGCCTACTCTTCAGAATAAATGGGGGAAAAAGAAAGAATTGACTCTGTTAAGAAAGCAAATGAGTTCTTGAAGCAAAAACTGGGAAGGTCCAGAGAAGACGACAAAGATGAAGACCAGGATAAAGAAAGCAGTGAAAACTCTTCTTCAACCACTGAGGAGGACTCTGATTTGAAGTTGGGGAAAGATTATGATTTGAGGAAAAGAAATGCCAAGAAATGAGATGAGAAATGAGATGCTGAGGAACTCTGAATTCCACCTTTAAGAAGCTACATTTAAGTTTGATGCTTTTGTGATTGCCTTAAACAGTACCTAATATCGGGTTTTGGGGAATATTGGCTAGATTTTAACATTCAAGCTCATTGTATTAATAATAGATTAGATTAATCATTATATAAGGTTATGTAATGATCTTCAGTGCTTGGGTTTTTAGTGGTTAACTTTCCTTTCTCCTGTAGATATTAGATTCCCTTTCCTATTTTCTTTGTAGTTTATAGAAAAGCAATAAAAAAATCCCCTTCGGGGGGCCAAAACCCCCACAAATTTAACTGACCCACATCATGAATGGGGGCAAACCAGACTGGGTTCATTCATGCGGACCAGTCATGGCCCTGGGTGCAAGTCTCGAGCACCTGCAAGAGGATTTCTTATTTGGAACTTTAGACACAATTGAAAAAAGACGCGCCACACTAACTTTTGACACAGTTAATGAAGCTCAACTGATAAAAAACCCGCAAAGCACAGAAAACCCAACATTTTTATTTACTTGATACAAATAATCTATTTAATGAGCTATGACCCTTCCTGAATTGAGTTTTGTTTTTCTCTGATTCATAAATACTTAATCTAGTGTCACCAACTGTCTGGAGGAAAAAAGTGGTCAGATGAAATTCCTCAGCCTCCTGCATAAAGGCACAATTCAAGGGGAGCTCTGAGGAGTCCGAGGTGGGGAGTAAGCCTTGGCCCAAGGCTTACTCTGTGTTATTTCTGGCTCATGGAGTTGGGGGGGGGGATAAGAACAGGAGGAGGAAATCTTACTTCTTCTTCCTGATTTTTTTCTGGGAGAATCTGGGGGGTGGTTGGGGAGGACAATTGGGATTGGGGAATTTGTGTCCCACAAAGTTCACCTCCCAACTCCATGGATACCAGTCCATTACCACAATACTGGATGATATGGGGGGGGGTCTGACCCCTTAGAATGTACTGGGTGCGTTCAGACGGGGCGTTTCTGCTGGCATAAACTGCACCGGTTGGAACCGGTACAGTTTATGCCGGCAGAAACGTGATCAGATTCACCCTCCATTTTGCGAATCCCTCCGTTGGACGCCCGCTCACACGCTGCAGGCGTCGGCGTTTTTTTTTTTTAAAAAAAACAGTTTGAGCATGCGCACAGGCAGCCATTCAGAGAATGGCGATTTTTGCGCATGCTCAATCCCCCTTACATTTAAACTTTAAAGGTAAGCACTTACCTTTAAAGTTTAAAGCCCAACCTGGCCTTCCTGTAGTCCCGGACTCCTCCGGGACGGTAAAGTAAGGGCTTTTTTTTCTTTTCTTAACAAACGCTCGGGGCGAAGCTTTGCAAAAACCCTCAGGGCGAAGCTTCGCCTGAGCGCATATTGCTTAGTTTAAAAAAAAAAATGGCCGGGGAAAGCCAGAAACCTCAGGCTTACGAAAGAAGTGGCTGTGCAACGGCGGAGAGCGATCAGACGGAAGCGTTCATCGGAAGCCACCGTTGCACTCTGTTTACCACCACTTCGGACCTAGTGGCAGAGTGCAACGGTTTAAAAGGATTTACAACGGTTAAGGACGGGAGGCAGATGTTCGCCGTCTGAACGCCCGTAAGTACACCGGTTGGAACCGGCACCCTAACCGTTGTAAATCCCCCGTCTGAACGCACCCACTGAGTTGTTGGGTTGAGGGACACAAGCTTTTTATTTCAACCTAAATAAAACCTATTGCCAGAACCTTTGGGGTTCAAGGTGGTGACAACCCAAAAATCACAGCAGGCTGGACTGGGGGAGGGAGGATTAGGGTTGAGTAATGCCTCTCTAGATCCGCTTGTCAGCGGCTCCTTCCACAGTCCTAGCATTTTTAACATCTCTTCCTGCTTAGGGTTAAGATATCTAAGGAGATTCCAGCTTTCTACACGCATTTATTTAGTGTCAATGTTTTATACGGTCTGCTGTTGTCTTTTAGGTGTGAAATAAGAGAAAAGCCATTTTCATGAGCTAAGCAGTTACATGGTTTCTCCTCATGTGAGTTCTTAGATGCTGTAGAAGATTTCCATGGTGTGTGAAATTCCACACTGTGAGCATTCAAATGGGTTTTACTCTGTGTGCACTCTCTAACACCATTGAAGACTGCTACTGTTACTCAATATCTTTACATACTCTGAGCACTCAAAATGTTTCTTCCATGTGGGTTCCTAGATCCTGTTGAAGATGGTAGCTCAATCTCTTTCCACATTCTGAGCATTCAAAAAATTTCTCCCTTTTGTGGGTTCTCTAATGCTGTTGAAGAGTGTCACTCAACCTGAAACTCTAGCCACACTTTGAGCATTCAAAAGATTCTCTCCCTGTGTGGGTTGTCAGATGCTATTGAAAGGTGTCACTCG